GGCTTATTCACCAGCACTCTTGCACGAACCCTAACATAATCACCCTCGTAAAAGAGGCGAGGTGCAAGCTAGATTTCCTTCACTCGACCAATGCGGCGAGCTAGCTGATCCACAACTTATTCTTTGCGGTATAATTCTCGTATGTTGTGAATCTGAGCCCAAACGTATAAGCCGTCAAACTCGAAGGTTGTAGGTTCCTTCTTACCATCATAGTCTTCAATAAGCATGCCCATACCCCTAAACAGCCATGGTCCTCCATGCACCACCCTCTTCCAATCCCCTAAGAAGAACATCTCGAAGATAAAAAGATTCTCTCCCGCTTCCCTATACTTTGGCACATGAGCTACTCCCCAGATCGACTTCAGCGTCTCGAACATCGCTGAAGAGCTAAAGATGCGAGTCGTATTGACTTTCCCAATCGCCAACCATCTTGCATCTACTTCAAACTTCTTCACCTCTTCTGCCCCAACCACCACATCATCAAGTTCGTCGTCCTGGAGGTCCAGATGTTGTAGCATCTCATCCAGGTTCTCCCCCATCCAACCCGCCGAAGAGGATCCTACCGGTTTCGTCATCTAGGGTTTAGCCAACAGCCGCCAAGGAACCGCCTGGGAGAACCAATCCGTGCCTCTGGCTCGAGCCGAAGGAAGGAGGCGTCAGCGACGGGATCAGCCGGCGGTAGGTGGATACGGTGATCTAGACGGCGATGAGATTGCCGCCAGAGGCAAAAACCCTAAGCGAGAGGGTAGGTTTATCAAACCCTTGGTGGATCAGAGCAGACAGGTGGGAAGTTGTTCTGGACCGTGGCCCATGTTGCGCTACGCGTGCTGACGATTTTTTCCAGTCAGTGTTTAAAAAAAAATCCGGGTTTCTGCTAGAATAATTTGGAGTGGCATTTATCAAATTAACCCTTTTCAAAAATGACCTTGATTTAAAAAAACATGAATATTATTATTTACGAATTTTAAAAATCTTCCCAAATTTATAACATGATCAAAAATTGGTAATACATGTTTGCAATTTAAAAATGGAAAAGGAATTAGAAAATAGAAGAAAAAATGAACAGAACAAATGGAAAAAGGAAATAGAAAAGAGAAGAAAAAACAAACATAAAAAAAGAATACTTGTAAAATTGATAGACCAACACATGGAAAAGGGAAAAAAATGCGAGAAGAACATTCCCAACATCGGGAAATACAATGGTGTGGTGTCCCATTACGTCAAGGGTGCATGTTTCACATATTGTTTTGCGAGACTTTTTTTTACAAGGAAAAAACCTTTCAATCCATTCATCAAACATCATGACAATACAAAAAACACGAGAAGTAACAAAGATTACATCCATGTTTATAGACAATCTAGCGATGACTACAACCACTAGAGCGTCGAAGGCGTGCCACCGTTCCCCTCCCTCGCCGAAGTCGAGCAAATCTTGTTGAAATAGACAACCAGAAAATAATGAGATGGTCATTTAAGGAAATGATTTATCCTAGCAAATGATCATATACACTTCGTACATCTATATCGAATACGGAAGACAAGATGTATTAGAGGGATTCACTTCTGAATTAATTACCCACAACTAGTGGGAAATGAGATTTTCCGTTTAGGGCACTTTCCGATCATGTTTTTTTTAAATTAATTTCCGATCTTGATTTGATATATCATATCCTTTCTTTCGTTTTTTTTATTGAGTGGATACCCTTTCTTTGGAGACCTCCTCTTCGGCGTCTTAGGCACCGGTTCCCTTAGCGGGCGCTCACAGCAGCTTCGCATGGGCCGGCCCAGCTACCAGCCTCTCGTTCGCTCTATCCCCATCACAACGATGTTGCATTTGTTCATTCACAAACCTGAAAAACACATGGGTAAAAACAAATATGAATTCGAAAACATTTCATGAATTTGTAAAGTTCATCAATTCTAAAACAAAAAAGTTCATCAATTTTGAAACACATTTCACAAAAAAATTGAATTTTTTATTGATTTTGTAAAAAATTCACCGAATTTGAAAAAAGTTCATCGAATTTGAAAAAAGGTTCATCAAATTTGAAAAGAAACGTTCATCAAACTTGAAAAGAGTTCATCGAATTTGGACAAAAAAATCATCGGATTTGAAAAAAAGTTCATCAAAGTTGAAAAAATAATTTCATCAAATTTGAAGAAGTTCATCGAAATTTGAAAAAGATTCATCAAAATTTTAAAAAAAATCACTGATTTCAAAAAAATAAAATTAATTTGAAAAATTAATCAACTTTCAGAAAAGAATCATGAAGAAAAAAAGTTTCTCAAATTTGATAAAAGAAAGGAAAAAAGCGACAGAAAAAATGGAAAAAAAAGACACGCAAAAAGAGGAGGAAAAACATGCAAAAGAATGACAACAAGTCAAGTGGTCTGTTGGTTGACGAGTCGTACCCTTAAATTGGTACTCGCGGGATCGAATACTAGTTCTCCCTCATCAGCGCGCCAGCTGATGCTCTCTCAGCAGCCCGCCTGTCACGCTTTGGGTGTTTCCTTTAGAATTTTTTTCCACACGCGTTTTGGGCTTTTTAAATGTTTTTTTATTCTTTTGAAGTTTTGGTTTTTCACCGGTCATCCTTAGCTATTGAAAAAAAAATCGAAATTTTTTTACGTGAAAAAATGGGTTTTGGGTTTTTTCGACGTTTCTATTTTTTACCTGCCTTCCTTAGCTATAGGAACAAAAAAAATTGAAATTTATTTTTACGTGAAAAAGCATGTTTTTTTTGTTTTCTTTCACGATAGTCACGATTTTGCTTCCGCGAGAGGCATTGTTTTACTTTCGCGAGAGTCACGGCCGTGCCTCTCGAAAACGAAAAAAAATGTATTTTCTGTTTTTTTCCTTCCGTTAGAGTCACGGTTTTGCTTCTGAGAGGGGCACGGTTGTGTTTTCGTGAGAGTCATGGTCGTGCCTCGGTAACAAAAAAAATATGTTTTCTATTATTTTTCTTCTGTGAGAGACACGTTTTTGCTTCCGCGAGAGACACGGTTGTGCTTTCGCAAGGGCACGACCATGCCTCTCAAAAAATGAAAAAAATGCATTTTTTCTCTTTCGTGAGAGGCGTAATTGTGCTTTCGCGAGAGGCACGGCCATGCCTCCTCGGAAAAGAAAAAAAACATGTTTTCTCTTTTTTTTTCTGTGATAGGCACAGTTGTGATTTCACGAGAGGCACGGGCGTGTCTCTTTCGGAAACGGAAAAAATTCGTGCTCCCGGTTCATTTTTTCGTTCGGTTTTTTAGACCGTTTTTTTTTGTGAAAACAAATGTTTGTCAAAACCTATCAACATGGTATCTAATTTTGAAGATCTTGACGCGAGGAATCCAACGGTGAAAACGGTTCAAGATTTAGACACACGGATTAAGAGATAAAACGTTTTGAATAAACCGATCTACGAAAAAAGGGAAATCTCCCCAGGTTGCGACAAATGACGCACATGCAGCACGCCACTTGTCACAGTCTGAAAAGGTGGGAGTGATCTTTACGACGAGTACTTCTCAATTAGTGATCTCGCTGTATCAGGCGCAGAAGGCGCCGAATATGATTTAGCCTTTTTTTTCGTTGTTGTTGAAGGCGATCCTTTGTCATATCACAGGCCTAGTGCATGCACGGCCCAAGCCATCACGAAAATGCAAGCTGAAGCCATCCCTATATGGTCCAAAATCTACGGCCCAAACTCTAGGATACTCTGTGATGAAATCAAAGTTGAGAATGCTTCCCCTGTATAATAATCAGAAAATAGGAAGTCGAGAATGCAGGACGAAACGAGCAATTTATGTCTGTCTTCGTAGGAGCGACCACTCCACAGAGAATTTAAGACGGAAACACGTTAAGCCAATTACAGTGAAGTCGACGATGCAGCCAACCACAACGGCGGTCGATCATTGCTTGCCACTGACAATGATCTGGAGGGAGACACAGGCTGGTCGTCATCGTGCCAAGTTATCGCCGCAGGCTCCGGCCACCACAGTCCATGATCAACTTCCTTGCAGTGACTATTCAGCCTTTAATCTCCACACGCGGTGGCCCTTGCCTCGCCGGTAATGGGGACGGAGTGATCTGCGGTTTCTTCAGCTTTGGCGTGGTGTTCGTGTTCGTGCGTGCGTTCCACTACCCCGTCACTCCCCAGTCCACCCACCCCAACGGCTAGGAATCACAAAATCTCTCGTGTGCAACCACACTCCTCGACCCTCGTCGTCGCCGGCTTTTCTGCTGCCCTCCTTTTCTTCCACGGCGGGAGGTGGCAGGAGCTGATGCCCGTTTTTGTGCCGGGTGGCTAGGCAACTGTTGGTCCTCAGCCAAGCATCTCTTAACCTGAGCTCTATGTCGCGCACTAGCCTCCACTAGCAGTTCGCCCATCACGCCGACCATTTCATTGTTGCGCCGTTGACATGCAACAATAACAAACAACAAATGATCATCCGAAGGCTCACCGTCAAGAGCTTGTCAAACATGACATGGAGTATTACTTAAACATATCCGTTATTTGGATGGAAACGCCGGAGCATCATCAAGGGGGTTGGATCATGATTAGGATGACGTGATTAGGTTGAATCTTGCAGCAACCAAAGCCATGTTAATCGCTTACAGTAAAAGCGATGTTTGGATGCCTTCAAGTACGCAAATTCCTCTTCTTTGCGAAGGACATGAATCCATACAGGCCAGTTGGAGTACGCTACGCTGTAGAGCCGCCAGCTGAAGCATGAGCCACGAAGACGCAAAATCAGAGCACCGCCAGGGCGGCAACAAAGTACTCCACTAGGAAGGAGTACTCGGCAGCAAACTCCTTTTTTATAGACGAAATTCCATTATTTCAGTACAGCACGAACAAGCAACACACTGATAACTCCACTCGTCAATCATTATCCGCGATTAAATTTTCTAGCTAAAAAAGATCATCATCCTGCACGTTGCTTGCACTCCTTGATCTGTCCATAACCGGCCCAGTGAGACCCAGCAGCCGGCCAGCCAAGCCAAGCTTTCGCCAATGGTCGCCGTCTTCAACAAGGACGTCCTCAGCTGGTACCTCATCACGCTCAAGCTCAAGGAGACCGTCGACGCCAACCTCAACAAGTCCCCGTCGCCGTTGCCGCACTGGCAGGCGCTCCCCCGCAGCCTGCTCGTCGCCAACGGCACGCCGGGGGCAGCGGAGACGTTGACGCGCCAGGACCGGGACCAGCAGGCCGCGGCCCCGGCGCAGTCGTCGCCGGCGCACAGCCCCAAGCCGCAGGACCCGGAATGGGTGGTGACCATCCGCGGGAAGCTGGCGCAGGCGCGCGCGGAGGAGGCGGCGTGCCCGTGGGCGCGGCTCTCCGTGTACCGCGTGCCCAAGTCGCTCCGCGAGGGCGACGAGCGCGCCTACATGCCGCAGGTGGTGTCCATCGGCCCGCTCCACGCCGGCAAGCGGCGGCTGCGCGAGATGGAGCGCCACAAGTGGCGCGCGCTGCACCACGTGCTCAAACGCACGGGCCACGACGTCACCGCCTACCTCGACGCGCTGCGGCCCATGGAGGAGCGGGTGCGGTCCTGCTACGACGGCCGCGTCGCATGGATGCCGGCCAACGACTTCGCGCAGTGCCTGGTGCTGGACGGGACCTTCGTGCTGGAGCTGTTCCGCGGCGCGCTGGACGGCGCCAAGGGGTTCGTGGACGACCTGGGCTACTCGCGGCACGACCCCGTCTTCGCCATGCGCGGCGCCATGCACGCCATCCGTAGCGACATGATCCTGCTGGAGAACCAGATACCGCTGTTCGTGCTGGACCTGCTGCTCGGGATCCAGCTGGGCCACCCGGAGCAGACGGGGGCCGTGGCCAGCCTCGCCGTGCGCTTCTTCGACCCGCTGATGCCGACGGACACGCCGCTGCACCGGAAGGACCGGTTCAAGCTTGAGTCCTCCGTGGACGCCGACGCGGCGGCCGCGGCGGCGTTCGACCCGCTGTCAAACCCGATGCTGCACTGCCTGGACGTGTTCCGGCGCAGCCTCCTCCGCGCAGGGATGCAGCCCACCCCGCCGCCGGCGGCGCGGCTGTGGCTGAAGAAGTGGTCGGGGCTGCGGCGCGTGGCCGACAAGCGGCGGCAGCAGTTCGTGCACTGCGTGTCGGAGCTCCGTGAAGCCGGCATCCGGTGCCGGCGGCGGCGCAACACGGACCGGTTCTGGGACATCCGGTTCGACAAGGGGGTGCTCCACATCCCGCGGATCCTGATCCACGACGGCAGCAAGGCGCTGTTCCTGAACCTGATCGCGTTCGAGCAGTGCCACATGGACATCGCGACGCCGGGCGGGAACAACATCACCTCCTACGCCATCTTCATGGACAACCTGATAAACTCGGCGGAGGACGTCAAGTACCTGCACGACCGGGGCATCATCGAGCACTGGCTGGGCAGCGACGGCGAGGTGGCGGAGCTGTTCAACCGGCTGTGCCTGGAGGTGGTGTTCGACATCAACGACAGCTACCTCTCCGGGCTGTCGGACCAGGTGAACCGGTACTACGACCACAAGTGGAGCACCTGGGTGGCCAGCCTGCAGCACAACTACTTCACCAACCCGTGGGCCATCGTCTCCGTCGTCGCTGGCGTCTTCCTCCTGCTGCTCACCATGATGCAGACCTTCTACAGCGCATACAGCTACTATCGACCGCCCGCCTAGCCTTAGCTCCAGCTCCAGCTCCAGCTCCAGCCACCAGCAGGTGGATTGGTTCACTGTTCGACATTTTTTCTTTTCTTTTTTGTTGCTTGCGTTGCAGTTTTGATTGATTGATTGGTTGGTTCTCTTGTCAAGGAAGAACTCTTCTCCCCCCTTTGAGTTGCATCCTGTTAATATACGTACTCGATTCTGGTGGGAGAAGCATTTTTGTGGCAAAAATAAGCAAATGCATTGTATTAATCGTCTGTTCTTGGGACATCTTGAGGGGTTTGAGCATTTGCAAGGTCAAATGCTAGTCTTGTTTTAGGCTTGATTCTAAGGTTTTCCACACGTGGAAGGAAGAAGGCCCCAAGTTTTCCGTCCTTCCACGTCTCAGTTACATGTGGGCATATATAAATCTTTTCTTATCTAGATGTAGATCAGCAACACGCGCGGATGCGCCAATCTCCGTATTTTCTTTTGAAGAGAAGATAACGACACTATGATTCGTACGATGCTTCTACTCTACAGTAGTCGTCAGGATCCATCCTCGGCCCCTAGCGTGCAGCATTGGAGCCACAAGGCTTTCATTCACACAGCCATGGAATGGAAGCGCCCAGACGGGTCCTTTTTTCCTTTTGATACCAATTCAATTCTTCCAGTGAGCAGCATCGATGCTCTCCCCTAAGAAAAAATACAATTGATTAAATAAAAAAACAGAACAGCATCGATGCATATGCTCTAGTGCCATGCCTAATTCAGAGCATAAAGGGCAATCTTGAAGGAACATGCGTACTATCAACTTGACAATGGCCCCAACATGTGCAAATGTTGTGCAAAAAGCCAAATGTCAGGGCAATCTTTCTTTTTTGGCAACAATATACTGTTTTCTGCAATCACCTTATCAGGCAAAAAGCCAAATGTCAGGACAATCTTTTCTTTAAGATGATGTCAGGGCAATCTTGAAGGAACATGCGTACCATCTTTTTACAATTATAAAGAACACAAAGGCTGATTCGTACTTTGCAAAAAGATGAGCATTTCAAAGGCTAGGAACAAAGCCACAGCCCAACAAATAAATTTTTCGAGTACAAAAGTTCTACACGGCCACTATAGTACGAACGTACGATACAGCTCTAGTTACACGCTTCACATCAGCTGGTATGTATGTATGATACAGCTCTAGCACATAGCATCCGCTTCAAGACACATACAATGTGTCGATCGCGTGCAATTCAGTAGCTGCTTCTCTCATGTTCATTCGTTCGTTAGGATCCTGGCTTGCGCAAGAAAGTGCCACTTTCAGCAAGGACATCAGGCACCGGTGGACTTCGTTTTCTCCTTCCAGATTATCCTGAGAACAGTCTTGACATTCTTCTCGGAGAGAAGCGTCAAGGATATCAAGTATCTGATCCGGAAAGTTCCTCTTGACAAAGTTCACGATGTCAAGCCCCTCGCAGAACATAGGGTCGGTCGGCCTTCTTCCTGTCAGCATCTCCAGCAGCACTATCCCAAAACTGTACGCGTCTCCAGACGTCGATAGGTAGCCACCTCCCGCATACTCTGAACACCATGTAAAACGTTTAATAACATAAGTTCATGTAAACAACCGCTTCGTTGCATGCATTCAAATTTACAGCAAGAAACATATTGTTACCTGGAGCAATATATCCAATCGTGCCCCTCAGAGTTATTGTACCCATTGAACTCGAACCTCCAGCTGCCGCTGATTTGGATTTGATGTACAACCTTGCGATGCCAAAGTCCCCCAAACGAGCTGTCATATCATAATCTAGGAGGATATTGCTGGGCTTCAAATCACAGTGAACAATAGGATTCTCACAGTCATGGTGTATATATTGCAATGCATCGGCTATATCAACAGCTATTTTCATTCTTTGAGAGAGGTCCAGTTGCTTTGGGGCTTTTCCATCTCCTGCCGGGTGCAGCCAAGTGTCCAGGTTGCCGTTGGGCATGAACTGGTAGACTAGAGCTTTGAAATCCCGGCCTTGGTTATCAATTGTTGAGCATGCAGTCAGAATTGGAAGAAGATTACGGTGCCGAATGTTTCTCAGTGCTTTACATTCTGAGATGAAACTTTTATCCGCGCCTTGCATGTCAAGGTCAAAAACTTTCACTGCCACAACCATCTGTTTTTGGTTTAGCTTTGCTCTGTACACTGAACCGCAGCTTCCTCTCCCAATCAAGTTATATACTGTGAAGTTCTCAGTAGCCTGTGCTAGATCCTTATAAGATACTTTAGGGAATTGCTCATCGGAAGAAGGCAACGATAACTGCATCCTCAGCATCCTCTTTCTGAGAAGGGATAAGCAGACTACTAATATGAGTAACAAGATGCCTAATATAGGGACCAATACTCTCACCAAATAGTATTGCCATCTAGATCTTCTATGAGAAGCAGCGGGGCATGAAGGCATATGTAGGTCCAGCACACCTCCACAAAGCCGCCAATTGCCTTTCAGGGAAATGGCTGTTGTATTTTTGAATATTCCTTCTACTGGTACTTCTCCTTCAAGATGATTGTCGGATAGATCCAACTGGGTGAGAAGTTGCAGTTTGCTTAGAGCAATTGGGATAGAGCCTGAGAGATTGTTATGTGAAAGGTTGAGCTCGATCAAGCTGTTCAGACTCCCTAGAAACATGGGAATGCTTCCCGAGAGGAAGTTCCGGTCCAATTTGATGGCTTGCGATTGCTGGCATGTGCGCAAAGTAGGTGGAATTTCCCCTGTAAGCTTGTTGGATGAAAGATCTAGATAGTTGAGTTGTTGAAGATTACTGATGTGAGGAATTTGGCCTTCTAGACTGTTGTGGGATAGCGCACATTGGGCAATTGTGGCTATACTAAAAAGCTCTTTTGGTATATTTTCTTGAAGATTGTTATAGCTGAGGTCTAAATACAAGAGTTGCTGAAGGTTTTCGAAACTTGATGGAATGGGACCGTGGAATTGATTATTTGCCAGAAACAGTTCTGACAGCTTGGAGTTATTGCCAATGGAAGTTGGAATCTGACCGGTGAAATTGTTCTGTTGAAGATATAAACCTTGCAAATTAGCAAGATTTCCAACCCATCCATCAATCGGACCAGTCAAACTGTTCTCCTCCAGTCCTAGCTTAGTTAGTCTATGGAGATTTCCTATGCTTGACGGAACTAATCCATATAGCATATTCCTACCAAACACGAGGTTGTTAACATTAGACGAAAGGTTGCCAACAGAATTTGGCAAGTTTCCTTGTAGCCGATTTGCATAGAGTGAAAGCATCTCTAGAGAAGTGCAGTTGCTCAATGCATCCAAGAATTCCCAGCCCCAGCTGTCATTTGCTTCAAGACTGTTTGTGTCAAGACCTAGCTTACTGAGCTTCGGAAGTTTACCAAGAGAAGGTGGGACTCGTCCTCTAAACCCGTGATTATATGCTAAGTTTATCAGCTGTAGCTCGGATGCATTGCCTAATGAGTCAGGGATAAGACCTTCCAGCATGTTACCACCCAATGTAAGAAGTCGGAGGTTAGGGAGAGCATCACCCATGTTAGATGGTAGAGTACAAACTAGCATATTCAACTCCAGCGCCATTTGATTTAGCAGAGACAAATTAAAAATGGCCTTTGGGACTCTACCTGATAGCTTGTTTTCACCAAGGAGTAAGTTTGACATCTTGGACAACTTCCCAAACTCATCAGGAATGCCTCCCTCTAACCGGTTATACATCAGAATAACATGTTCTAGAGAAGTGATATTGCCAAGGCCTGGTGGAATGACCCCGGTAAGATCATTATAAGAAAGCCACAAGCGTGTCAGGTTGGAGAGAAGGGATATTTCTGCGGGAATTTCACCCACCAATAAGTTTCTTGAGAGGTCTAACGCCCTCAAGTTGGAGCAGTTTGTGAGCGTCACTGGAATAATCCCTTGTAGCGAGTTGTGACTCAGGTCAAGAAACTCCAGCTCTCGCAGCCGGCCAAAATGTGGTATCTGACCAGAGAACTTGCTTCTGGAAAGGTTAAGATAAGTAAGATATGACATGTTTCCAAGGGAAGGAGAGATTTCCCCGACAAAACTCTGCTCAGACAGGTCCAGCTCTGCAACACGCTCATGCTCTGTGAGGCTGCACTTCACACCCTGCCAGTTGCAGAAATGAATGCTGGTGTTCCATGTGCTCAAGAGCCCTTTCGGATCTTCGGTGATTGCGCGCTTGAAATCAAGAAGCGACAGCATATCTGTATCGTTCCCATGGAGGACGGCGCAAATGACGCTTCCAGATCCATGAGACAATAACAACAGTGCCCATGCTACGAGCACGAAGAGCTTCATGACATAGCTTTTTCGCTCCCTCACTATTTCATGATGCAAAACCGGAGTTTAAATGCACCTGATTCACATGTAAAAGATCTGAATGAAGCGAAAAGTACGATGTATGAAAGGAAGTAGTGCACGAAATATTCATAGATGGAAGAAGCGTGCACCTACCTCTAGTCTTCAGAAGCACAGCATATCACAGGAGACAGGACCATGTCTAATATTGGTTTAGGTGGAGATGAGTGCTGTAGTTTGCCCTTCTGAGAGGGATTAAGTAGCAATAGAGATGGCGTTAGCGTTACGCAGCATTAAACATATCTAATTGCCGCGCACACGTTGACACTTGACACCTTTAATTGCTTTTAAAAATATGCTCTAGTGCTGAATCGCCGGCCGCCCTACTTTGTTTTTAGCAAATTCAGTCTTGTATGCACACTTAGCAGGTATCCCCGTTCTTTGTCGCTTTTACACCTTGTTTGGAACTATTCAAGCTTCTTAATTGTACAGGCTGATGCGGTGCCGTATATAGTTCTAAATAAGGGTTTAACAAGTGCAGCGTCAGTACTCTAAGCATCTGAAGTACCGTGTTTTTAGCATATGTTATCATATAATATTGACCTCTTGAAGAGCTCAGAGCTTTGTACAATGCGCATGGTTGGTGGTAGCCATGACGAGAATTCCCCAACTTTCAGCTCGAATTTAACAAGCTTTCAGTTTCAGCTAATATATAATGCAGACTTTTCAACTAGATTTGTAAGAGGAAAAATCGCACCTCGGAGTTTAGGGCGCGGCGCCCTCGCCGGCGACGGAGAGGAAGAGTGCGGCGCCCTCGCCGCCGACGGAGAAGACAGCCGAGGCCTGGGAGGGAGGACGTGCCATAGGGGAGGGAGGCGCGGGAGTGGCGGTGCCGCGCCTGGCCTTGGGGCCTTGGGGGTAATAGCGGCGGCGGTGTTGCTAGGGTTTGGCTGGACGGCCTGAGGCAGGCCGCAGGCGTGGGTAGCTGCTGCTGGTTCTGTCACGCAACTAGTAGCTGATTTTAAATTTGGTACTCCCTCGGTTACAAATAAAAGATGTTCTACGCGAGGCGTAATTTTGTCTGAGTCAAATATGTATAGGCACGTTTTAGTATGATTGTTCATTCATTTTAATCTATATTTATTCCATATTAATAATATTTAAAACATCTTGTATTTGTATTTGTGAACGGCAGGAGTATCGATTTTTTGGTGTTATTTCTTTCCGTTTCACGCTTTGAATTATGTGTCATTGTTGTTTTGGTCTACATGATATAGTAGTAAAAGACAAAAAAAAAAAACTCAATGAAAAGGAAAACCAGCTATTCCCTTCGTTTCTAAATATTTGTCTTTCTAGATATTTCAACAAGTGACTACAAACGAAGCAAAATGAGTAAATCTACACTCTAAAATATGTCTACATACATCCTTATGTGGTAGCCATTTAAAATGTGTAAAAAGACAATTATTTAAGAACGGAGGGAGTAGATGCTAATTGGACCAACTCTGACGCCAAGTGGTTAGAAGGTCAGCAACTAACAACTTATTATATTTTCTTACTTCCCACTTGTATCTCAAAGACAAAACCTGGAAGTGCCAATCCTTTAAACAATAAAATATCATGCATAGCGCAAAGCCACGTAAAATCATTTTAATATTTTCTGAAAACTTCAAAAAATATCTTTGTGATTTTCTGAATTTTATAAGATAGCAAACAAAAAAGTAAAAAAAAAGGAACAAGAAAATGTTTTTATTTTTTTAAGTTGATAGCACACAATCAAGAACCAAAATAAGAACATGTACTGTTTTTTGTTTTTAGTAGAAACAAATAAAACATGATAAAAAAGGTAAAACATTTTTGTAATTTTCAAATTTCTCAAGAAAATAAAAAGATAACAATCAATCTAGGGCTAACGAAATAGATGGAATAAAACATAATATGGGTCATCATGCTCTATGCAATGCTACAATTTATCACTTAAACTCATAATGTGCACGTGGGGGCTACAATCAGTATTGGCCATACATTTTGACGTGTGTCTGACTAGAGGATTTACGAACATACCAGCATATAATGTGATCACAGTTTATGGAAATAGCATGTCACGATTGTATGATTGTTTAGTTTCACATGTTTATGTTTGAGATAAATACACCAGAAGTCATAGAACTTGCACGCGATGGTCAGTTTGATGCATAAACTTGTAAAATACGTGTTTCTGGTCATCAAACTTGCACGAGCATTCATATACGGTCACATTTCATGTACACGAACGTATCCATGGCCTATGTGGCATTCCAGTGTGGCCAGGGCCCACTGTCATCCGCTGTAGCATCTAAATCTGCAGAGAAGCCTTTGCCTTTTTTTATTTTCGTATTAAGCCCCTAAAAATAAAATTAAAAAGCAAGCGATATGGGGTTTTGAAGCTGCAACGTGCCCTAGTAGTCTCACGTGTACAACCACCAGACTATTGATTATTCATGTCTATATAGCACGACTAATTTCTGTATCATATAAACATTGACTGAAAATAAATTGTACAAGAAATGTAACACGGAAAAAATGAGCACAGTGGCTCGACCATGTGACCTTGTGGTCAAGGTTAACTAAGATTACCACCGACAACACAACACGTCCAGATGTAAGAAAATAATTTATATTCTTGTGTTTGTGACATTCAAAAAATATTTATGTGTTACAAAAAAAGGTATGTGACATTTTAAAAAGTTTCAAAAACTTGCATTTAAAAAAATGTTAATCAACACAACATGTCCAAATTAACATTTTTTCAAATACAAGTTTTGAAATTTATGTGTATTGAAACATATACTCCATATGATACACATATGTTTTGATGTTTTAAATACTCCAGTATACATCTATGTTATGATACATATATATATATTTTAAATACTCCAGTATACATCTATGTTTGGAGTATTTTAAAAAGTATATGCTTAATACTTTTGAAACATATGATTAACATTTTTTTCAAATACAAGTTTTGAAACTTTTTTCAACTTTGTTTTTAACATTTTCGGATGGTACAAAACATTTTTAAGCTACACAAACAGCTTTATACATTGTATAGGCATTTAAAAAATGTCATGACCAGTTTTTTGGGAATGCACGAACATTTTTAAAATGCAACGTATCATTTTTAATTACACAAATGTGGTTTACAATGTTTAAACATTTTTTTAAATGTCACACACCTTTTTTGTAACACATAAACATTTATTAAATATCACAAACACAAAATATTTTTTTTCTTACATAGAACAAGAAGGAATAACAACATGAAAAATATTTATCCCATTTGGATATGTTGTGTTTTCGAAACCCGGTGGTAATCTTAGTTAACATTGATCACGAGGTCACATGGTCGAGCCACGGTGCTCCCTTTTTTGGGGTTACATTTCTTGTAAAATTGATTTTTCGGCCATGTTTATATGATATAAAAATTATTTGTGCTACCTAGACATGAATGATCATCGGTTTGGTGGTTGTTAACCCGAGCCTAGTAGTGGCACGTCCCTAGTTCGTAACCGAACCATCCCTTGTTTTTCCATTTTATTTTAGGGGCTTTATACGTAAATAAAAAATAATTTTATTTTAGGGGCTTAATAAGTTAAAAAAAATAAGTGTATAATACGTAAATAAAGAAAAAGTCTGCAGATCTAGCATGCGTCGCGGGCTTACGGTGGGCCCTGGCCATGCTGGCATGCCACATAGACCACGGATACATCCGCGTACATGGAATGTGACCGTATATGAACGTTTGTGCAAGTTTGATGACCAGAAACACGTATTTTACAAGTTTATGCACCAAACTGACCGTCACGTGCAAGTTCTATGACTCCTGGTGTATTTACCTCTTTATGTTTATATGCAAGGCTGTCACATCTATAAGAGACGCTGATAGCGAACCTATGAAACTCGATCCATTTTCATGCCTAAGCAAACTTTCAAACTCTCATTTACTTGCACTTTTACTTCCAATTATTTCACTTTTATTTAAACCACTTGACATGAGTGGTAAGCTATATCAAAAACTGTTACTTTATTTACAAAATGCAAAAGTACTTCAAATACCATTATCTACTCACAATTTGTTGCAACCAGCAAAGATAGTGCGATTGACAACCTGTTGGTTGTTGTCAGCCAGCCTCGTGCACCAAGTGTCAAAATTCATCATCGCCCCGAGAGTCATGCCATCGGTAGGGTGGTGTAGGGTGGGGAGGTCGCATTCCACTACCTCCTTCACATGAGCGAGGACTTGATACACTAGTCGTTGCGTTGGACGCGCAAGAGGCGGTGGCATCATAGGCGGCCGTGGCCGCCAGCTGTGCGTCGTTCACGCCGGCAACTAACCCTCATTGGCGTCACTTCGACGAAGAGGTCAGTCCGTCCATGTCCATCGTCAAACTTACCTCCATTGGCGACGGCCAAGTCGCGGACTTCGACGAGGAGGAGTAGAGCATGGGAAACGATGACGCCTAGTTTCCCATATGGGTCAGTCTGTGCCCCATGTCCTACTCTTCCCCGCCGGCGACCGCGCCTTCACTTCCTGGGGCTCGCCACCACTGGACATGGAGACAGAAGGGAACAACAAGGGCTTGGAGGCCAGATGCTTTTGGGAGCTCATGGTGGTCGCCCGTGAAGATTTAGACTAGATTAACTTTCGAACGCTTTTGTTTAGTTAGATATGTCAAAAATATTATGTATTTGGTCCGATTTAGATGAAACTCATCCGGGTTGCATGAAGTCGTCCGGTTTGTTTAAGTCTAGTTTAAAATGTATGCGAGCATGGTTGGATGACCATCTTTAGCATGAGTGTCCGTGGAATTGTCCGAATCAGTACGTAGACAAATAATCTGTCCGTTTTAGGGGTCCGCATCGAAGATGCCCTTGTGTAGCAAAATTTAACCGAGAAAACCATGTACCGCAGTGGTGAATAGCACATGAAGAAACCGGTTGAGGAGGGAAGACCCGTGGAG